AATACTTCCAAATATATTAAGTATTTTGCCTTTTATCATCTATGATGAAAGCAAGTATGAGTAATATATATGTTTTATAAATAATTATTTTAATTACTAAATAAATTATCACATTAGCTTCTTTTATAAATTTAAAGTACGTTTATGTATAAAAATTATATATCAATACATTTATATATTACCGCAAATATAGGTAAAATCAGCCATTACTTCCGGTGGGCTGTGGGTGGGCGCCCCTCTCCTCCAATGCTAAGGCCGGCGCAACCCAATAATATTTTCCTAACAGGTAACACAGCCCATACAAATTTTACCCAATAGTACTGCTCTGACGGCAACCAAGCCTATCTAACCAATTTTCACCCGTTACTAATCTTTGCTTTATAGGTGAAATTGAAACTTCTGAAGTCGCAACTCAATTTTTTTTTTAATCTAACTTTATGAACGCATGATTTGAAGGTTTAAGTCGGATCATTGTTATGATTATGTGTTGCAAGTATATTTTAAGTTTGGATTGATATGTTGCCATTGTGTGTATAATATTTGTTGACACTTAATACACAAATATGATATAATAAAATAACAAATGTAATGTTTCAAAAAAAAAAATAGTTCACATATAATTTTGTTACAAAACTTTAAATCGCCAGATTTCCTTGGTGAAATCTGATGACAGGATCAGTTGTACGTTCAGTTCATTTTTAAGAAATATAATATTAGACTAAAATTGCAGCATTTGCTTGCTCTTTATGTTGGCAATGACATATAACTACGTACAAATTCCCAAAAAATTGATTTTTTTTCCTAAATTTGATGTAATATGGTCTCCGAATTTGTATTGATTATCCATGAATGTATTGTTGTACTTTCATGAAAATATATTGTAATTTAATATATGCATTGTATGTACGCACGATATATTCACTAGAGTCGATCGGAGCTCAGAATTGAATCAAAACACAAAAATTGATAATTAAAATATGTTTGCACGATATAACAATCAGCATGTATGAAAACGGTTGGTTCCTCATCCACGGCTAGCCCCGCCCCCACCCTTCGCCTCCGCTGCAACCTCCCGTTCCCTGCCAGACATTTTTTACACTACAAAGACTCAGAGACTGAGGTGTAGGAAATGGGGGCGATGGCGCCTCCTTTTATAGATGCTGCAGGCCTGAGGCTGCAGTATAGTACGCCGGGTCCGGTTCTTACAGTAACCCTATACCTTGTACATGTTTTAGGAGGGGGTGAGATCCGCATGGATAAATTTGTAATTAAATAACCAAAATGTTGGTATATATAATATATATATCGAAGATTTCAGCGTAGTATATGGTATTTTACATTATCTTTTGTATTACAAAAATATATATCGAAGCATATTGTGTTTACTTTATAAATTAAAATAAATATAGACATTTTCAGTGTATATCGAATGATGTGATTGTTATGCTGACATTTTTAATTTGATGTGTATATGCATTTAAAGATATTAAAAATACGAAAAACACCCAAAAATACGTTGATATTTACAGGTTTGTTCACTTTGTGTTTTTTTTATGTATATTTTTATATTAGGTATAAGAAATCATGTTTGTAGTATAAAAAAATATTTTATATTGAATATTAAAAATTAATGAATCATGTAGTGTTCATTGTTCAATAAAAAAATCATCTACATTTTCAATATACAAAATTTTAATATTTTATTTGTATGATTTATAAATATCAAAATTAAGAAATTACTAAAAAAAAAATCATATGTTGTATTTACCATATTGATAAATATTGACATTATTGATATTTTCTGATCCACTCTTAATCATGTACTCTCTCCGGAAAATCTTAGTCCCATTTCTTTATAAATTTACAAAAAAAATGGACTAAAATTACCAGAGTATATTTGTGATAATTATTTCAATTCCTATCGGTATACATTTATTATCTTTGTCGATATTCTTTTCATTTCTAACTGTACATGTGCATTTATTGATATTGCTCGATATTTTTGGTACATTGTTGGTATACAATTATGGAAAAAATTGCAAAAAATATTTTCTATATATACAAAATTATCACTTTTGTCATCTATTTTTTTGGCCAACAATATATACCGCACATTCCCAAAAATCGCATTTTTGGTACCTGAGATGCACGTGATCTTCATGCCCTATACAATTTCACCCCACTACAGAAAAAATGGTCATTTGTAGCAGTTTTTAAACCGTTGCAAATGACCATTTTTTGTTATTAAAAACTATTTGTAACGATTTTCTATCGGATTTTGACCGGCGCATATACTCGAGTTACAAAAAGTCTCTGTACCGACAATTTTTGTAACAAAAGATGGGCGGTGAACACACTTTTTAAGCACGTGAGAAATCTTGTTGTAACGGTTTTTGTAACGCTAACAATGTATTTTCAATTTATTTTTAGCAGATATTTCGCGTAATAAAATAATCGTTACAATAAATGTTCATGCACTTGTAACGGCTTTTGTTACGGTATAAATTTTGTTACAATAAGTTGGTTGTCAGAAAACTATTTTAAACACATTCATATTTTTTGTACATGTATCTGTAACGGTCATAATTTCGCAAAAAAATTAGTATCTTTCAGTAATAGCAACCGGAAAACATGTACAATGTGAAAAATACTACGAAATGATATTAAAAAATATAAAAATATTACAATAAATTTGAATCACAAAATGCAGGGAATTCAAACATCAAAACTAATAATAAAGTATGGACATCCATCATTCCATAACTATAATTCCCACCACACGAGGAATGGCTACAAAGGTCTAGACAACTATGCTACCTCTACTTCACATAGGCATAACAAGATACCATACACAATCTCTGAAGTCGAACAACCCAAACAGCAAATGACTGCAATATGCTGAGGAAAATATTGCCACAATTCAAAGGTAGTGCTGTGCACAAGCTGCAATAAAAAATCGTATTGAAAATTAGTTTACTTCTCACAAGAGTAGCATTTTGCTTTAATAAAGAGGAAAAACTTCGTGAACTTCAAGAAAATAAAATAAATAAGTTAGTATTTTCTACAAGAAATTTGAAAATAAATAAATTCAAAGCAACAAAATTTCTAAAATAAGATAATCTCACACTTATAATAAAAATACCAAAAAAAATAATGAAAAATGCATTCAAATCATCATATTAAAAATAAATCAAATTAACAATCATTAGAATATAACTATCATAGAATAAATTATTTATTTTTGGCAGTAACAACACAACTCACAACAGTAGCCACAGAAACATCCACAATGCAAATCCAAAAATAAATCAAGGACAATAGCTATTCTATAATTAATATTTATTCATTACTCATTAATAGCTATTCATTACTCATAGAAAGAAATCCACTAACCTATTCTATAATTAATAGCTAATACAATGCATCAAACTAAGATCTACATAGTCAAACAAATACGAAAGTTGGAAAACCATCATAAGTAACCAATAAACTCGTGAACATATACTATTAATTAAAATTCAACAAAATGACAACACAGGAATACCGCACTACCAAAAAAAGGTCTTTTTGTAACGATCAAATATTCGTAACTAAAAGCAATTTTTCGTGCAAAATAGCTTTTTGTGTCGACTTTGTTACGGATTATGACCGCTACGAAAAATCGCGGTACAAAAAGTTCGTGTCGCAACAAAATCCGTAACAAATATTAGGTGGTCAACTCTCAAAATAAGCACGTGTCAATTATATTTGTTACGTTTTTTGGTATGTAACAAAAACATCAATCATGTTTTTGAACCGACAAATATCCGACACAAATACTACGGAACAAAAGTTGAATACTGTCAGAAAAATATTTGTTACGACATATGTCCGAATCAAAAAATGCGTTAAAAATGTCTAATCTTGTCAGAAAAATTTTTGTTACAAGATTTGTCCATAACAACAATACATTACGACGAAAGGACTGCCCCCTAATAAATAAGTTGTTTGTTACGAAATTACTCTGCAACAAAAAGTCATGACAAAAGTCAGGCAACCATTCATTACCATTTGTACCCGCCACTGTCCGTAATTAAAAATACGCTACAAAAGACGTCCCTGTGTGGAATAGTAGTTTTGTCACCATAAATAAATTTCATTTGTCTATATTATTAATCTGCGAAACAAATAATTTAAAACTTAATCTTATCATAGTTGTTTCTAAATCCATCAAAATACTACACATGACCATGGTCATCAATACAACGATGTTCATAGTCCAGCCAAAAATAAAATATTAGTCGTTAACGGTGCTAACAAAACATCCCAACAAAACACCAATCCGTGCACCAACATAACAACATACTAAATAACGATACGCAAAACCAAAAAGTAATACGTAAATAGGTAATTCTGATATCATACGGAAGTACGATCTTAAGGGCAACTCATAAACACTACTATGAATGACCCAGCTAGTCGAGTGCAGAATCATGGAGGCTGCAATCACGGGCGGCGAACCAAATGCAATGTGTTTTTAATAATATATAAGCATTTATTACAGAAATTGAAGTAATTTAATTTCCAAAAGAATAACGTAAATAAAAAATTGCGTACATCCTGGTAAATCCACTCGATATTATCTCCATCGAGTACATCACCGAGAATTTTCGCTCCAGCATTAGTTGGGAGTATAAGTGCGGTCTCCGGGACCATTACAGCTGTAACATACAACTTAACAATGGCTAGGGTATCACCTATATAAATAGGTTGAACAAGCGCTAGTTACGATGATGAATATAATAAAATAAAACTTACGCTTTAGCCTGATCTAAGGACCCTAACTTAAATACAAGTATAATAACAAATAAACTCGAAAAGCACTAATAAAATAGGCTGACCCCTGAACATTATGAAAATAAATAACACAACATGCACCATAGGGGCCAACTCCCCTTATACATACACTAATAATTATAAATCACCACGATCATAGATGGGCAATCCTTCTGTAAAAAAAAAAAATGAACACAGCTCTCCAATAGCAACCAAGTAACCACCAATCAAGCCCTACAAATAACGTTCAACCATACAACTACCTTAAACCCAAATAGACATCTCCTACAACAATAAAACCAGATGCTAGATATAACAATCTTACAGATGCTTAGCAATTGGCTAGTAATGTCAAGTCCCGGGTAAAGGTTTTGTGCTTTTGAAACAAACTTTGGAGCAGCTTCAAACTCATTCTCTTCCATCTTGCGCTGACCAATTGACCTTGCCCATATGGCCTCATATTTGTTGCACTTCATTCTCTATATGAAGATCGGGAAATTTCAAAGAGACAAGTAATAATGAATTCCTCTCTTTGCTTAAATTAGATGCCTCGGCAATAAGAAAACTGAAGTTCAAAAATCTGTTTGCACTTATGATTGTTTGGAGCAGTGCAATGCCATCCACAGCCAAGAACGTCGCAGTCCGTTGCATGCTAAATGCTGTGATAATCAATTAATCATCACCACTGACTTTCACCAACTTGAATATCAAGCTTTTAATTGCCCAATTGCAGCTCAAGTGTTTGAAAGGGGTAAACAAATAATCTGGTGTTGGGAGTAGATTCAGACAAAAAAAAACTTCTTAAACATATCTAAATAAGCTCTGCACTATGAACAAGCTAATACCACGTGCTTTCCTGCGCTCACTTCAATATCCTGTTCCCAGTTCTCCTCAATTCCATGTAGGTGGCCTTTCCCGACTACTGCTACCACTGAATTTTGCTCACGAGCAACTCTAAGTCAATTGGTTGACATATATTTGTCGCGCTCGTGGATAATAGTTTCCATAATAGTTGGAAACTCCTTGCTTACTTCTTGAATAGTTGGCATGTGACCATCATCCATTTTCTTTAGCTTCTTATTGATCACTTCAGAACTTGGAGAGAAAAATGATTGAAACATAAAGGTGGAAAGCAATTTTATCTTGTGCCTAAGAGACATCTTCATCCATGTTCTATGTAATGTGTACTGAACAGGTCGATCACCAAGGACAACCTTATCGCCATACTTTTTTGCTTCTTCATACGCCACGTGAAACTCATCCCCAGGTTGAACTTCCAGTTTCATAGCAAGCTTAAGAGCAAAAAAGTTGTAAATAATGGCAAAAAGTTTCCTGTTTCTCTTCCAAATCTGCACCATTTCTCCAATTGTTGGAACCTTAAAAAGAGATGTACGAGCAGGGCATAACTCCAGGAAAACAACCTCTGGTTTCAAGAAATCAATCACAGCTTCAACTTCTTGGCAAGATTCCTTCGAAAGATGAGATGTTCCAACCAAATAAACATAACAGACGCCGCCATCCACAGTTGAATCACAACTGAGCATCACCACATTCTTCCAAAGCTCCGGGTCCAGAAACTCCCCTCGCCAAAAAGAGAGTCCCCTTCCTCTGCGTGCACAACACAATCAATCCCGGTAGGTGCCGTTACAAATTCAAACCCCGGCGAGAAGGACAAGAGCGCAGGAAAACAAATCCTGCTAATCCCCTCCAAAAATTCAAACATTACAGTTATTCCCTCCAAAAACTTGAGGAAGCCCTAATACCACTTCTTTTATACCCATTACATTTGTGTAATTAGGTACGAAATAATTTCAACCATAAAGATATCCAAAAGCCACAAAATCTATTTTTACGCAGTCAATGAAAAACCTAGGTTTTAAATCCAAAAACCTACATTGCAAAAACTTAATCGAACAAATGAACATCAAGTAGATGAGTATTATACTATATAAAAAATCCTCAAACACAAAAATACGTTGGGTTAACAAATCATTTTAACTCACCCGTCGAATTTGCGCCCTAGAACGTAGCCCGAACGACCACCTTGAAACCTAGGTGATGAAGGTCGCTAGCTTAGGGTGAATTTTGGGCTGCCTTCCACCAGCAACGGCGGCGCGAAGGTGGAGGCGACGGCGGAGCGAGGGTGGAGGCAACGGAGGCTCGAGTCTGAGGCTTCTCTGTAAATTCGTCTAGGGAGAGAAACACTTAATAATTTGATTTGATTTATTGTATATGAAACTATTGGCTGAAGACACAAAGGCGCATTGACGCTTTTTATTTTTAATTTTGTTTTTAGTAATAAGTTTTATATTGAATTTATTTTAATTTAAAAAAATTCCCTTAATAATTTATTAAGTAATGAAAAGCTTGTATTTAATTTTTTTTAAAATTATTTTTAGATTTAATTTTCAGAAATTTTTTAATTTATTATACTTATTTTTTTTGTTACGGTCGGTCCACATAACAAATATATATAAGATAACTTTTTGTCAAAATCGTATTTGGTACGGATAAATTTTTGTAACAAAAGAAAAAAAAGGTTGACCACCGCCCGTTTTTTTTTTTTGTTTCGACATAAATCGTAACATAAACCACTTTTTGTGATGAGATTATTGTTACGGAACATTAGCCCGTTACCAAAGACCTTTTTTTGGTAGTGCCGACCAAACTTATAAATAATAATAATCATACTTTAATCTATATCAACACAAAAATACACGTGCAAACCAACAAGTTATTCAAAACATATATTCATATAACCTAAATATTAAAATTATTTATCGATACTTTTAGACCAAATCTAACTTAACAATTTTAACATCAACCGCAACAAGAAGAAAAATAAAACAACAAAATTTGAAGAAAATGTCTTATTTTCAGAACTTTTCACTTTCTCGGGATGAATACTAGAAACTGCGACCGATTTTTTCTCATTATACCTCACATGATATTTTCAATATTAATAAGGTTGATAAATAAACAAGCAATGGTGTGGAGTAACTGATATCACCACATATCATATGCAAACTTGAAACTAGAACCTTTTGTTTGGAATTGCGAAGCCTTGTCAGTTTTGTCTGCTACTGTAACAACCTTATTTATTCTCGGGTTTAATAATATATCTAGATTGAACTGAAGAAAATCAAGAATCGAAACCATAATCATTAAACAATCAATGGTGTTCTATTCTAGATTACCATATAACAGATGCAGACTTAAAACTATAACCTTTTGCTTGGAATTACAAAGCCTTATTATTGTTACTGTCTAGTTTGACAGCATCTCCATATTGAATGGAAGAAAATTAAGAATCACAGACATAGCGACAAAAATTCAAAATGATCATAAACTTGTAAAAGTTAAATTTGAAACAAGAAAAGACCACAATATTCATCTATCAACCAATGTTTATTAACCAATGTTTTATATGGTGAGGCAAGAAAGACACATAAAGGATGCAACAATTTTAAAATTACACACCTTCATTGTCTTTTGTTCGAAGCTGCTCAAGAGGAGCATCATACATGGCATTTTTTAACTAGAATCTTTCTACCTCCAATAGCTGAACAATTCTTCAACTCAATGGAACGATTAGCATCTTCAATGGAAACACTTACAATTGAAAATCGATATCAAACCTAGTACCATTCACAAAATCCAGAAAAAAAATTTATTAAAAAAGCAAATTTTACTTACAATTGAACATAGCCAAACCTTTGATGCTCACTTGATCCTAATATAAAAACAAGCAAAGACCAATCAAAAATAAAAGCTTAGTCTAGACAAAAAGTTTTTTCTACAAGAAATAAAAGAGTCATGATTTTTTTACTTCAAAACAAGCAATTTTAAAATCAATCACATCCCATGTACGTATTATTCTTTTGGTTGTCCACAATGTTTAAAATCATAAACTTGTTTTAGGTGATCCTTAAATTCAACGTGGACACTAGATTAGCCTACCTTTTTCTGTAGCCATAAAGCATCTTATTATTGGTCCAACGGTACTGAAAGTTTCTTCCATCTAAATAAATATTGAAAAAAAACAATAAGACAAAACAATAAATAAATCCAAACTCAAAAAAAGATCTAGGGTTGGCATTTCAGGACATCGCCAGGCAGCGGCGAGTCACTATCGACGGGTCGAGGAAGACTGCACCAAAGCGCGATTAACGACCGACGAAGGTGGAGATGACACACCGTTCAGGGGTGCAGGGCGGAGAAATTAAAGGAAGGTGAAGGAGGGCGTATGGGAAGGAGAAACATAAAAGGAAAGAAAAAGAAGAAGAAGAACGGAGGACGAAGCAGAACGAAGAGGACAAAGAAGAAAAGGGAAGAAGAAGAACAAGGAAAACGAAACAGAGGATACGAACTGGGCGGTGCATTAGGGTTTGTTTAAAAATATTTTAGTTTTAATTTTAATTTTAATTTTAATTTTTATTGTATATAATAGTTTCAATTTTAAATAAACAATATTTTTTATTTCAATTTGTATATATTAATATATAAATATTATATATGTATATATATATTATACATATATGTGATATATTAATTTAGATTATTTTAGATTTAGTATGAAATTTCAAATTAAAAGTATTGTAATTGTAACGAAAAAAATACCGCAACAAAAGAAAAATGTTGACCAAATCGAAAAAACTATTTGTTACGAAAATATTCAGAACAAAAAATAGCTTTTGTAACAAAATAATTGTAGCGAATGAGATTTCGCTGGCCCACGTGACAAGCTCTTGATATAAAAAGTATAAATTCTTGCAATATGTAGAATATATTTACCAACGAACATAAATGAACATAATTATATAATTTTATAAATTTTATAATAAACAAACCCAATTATATATAATCTTACAAAATTTTCTAATAAAATTTTAAATATACATTTTATTCTTTCATTTATAAGTATCTTCTATAATAATAAAATATTATGATAATTTATTTTAAATATTTATATACATATATATTAAAATATTATATGGTAATTAAATTAGATTTTATGATACTAAATTTGAAAAATTCTAATATTAAAGCTAAATAATATATCACAAAAATATGCTCCTATATTTCTAAAAATTAATGAAAAAATCAAAAAGATAATTTTAATTTATGTTTTCTATACTCTAGAAATATCTGTCAGTTTTACAATTTTCATATTCTTATACTCAGTTATCAATAAAAAATTATACATAATTTATAAATGTATTACCAATTTTCAACATTACTTAAAATTTTAAATATAAAAAATTTATTTATCTAAATATTAAAATTATAAATTTTCATACACATATTGAATTTATTGATTAATATTTTAAATTTTTTTTACAATTTCGTTTTTTTGATAAATAAGATAAATTTTTAATTATTAATATAAACAAAACCAAAAATATAAATAATCATATCTATAAGCACTTAGAAAAAAAAAACAATATATATATATATAAAATATAAAATCAAAAAGATAAAATAGTCTATATAAACACAAAATTGAAAAAAAAACACAAAAAGTAAACATAAATAAAATTAGTAGTGGACTCTCCACCGACCGGAGCAAAAAACGAGATGACTCTCCACCGGAGCCGATAACGACATGACTCCACCGAAGTCGAACACGAGATGACTCTCCACCGGAGCCGAAAATGAGATGACTCCACCGGAGCGTAAAACGATATGACTCCACCGGAGCAAAAAACGAGATGACTCCACCGGAGCCGAAAACGACATGACTCCACCGGAGCCGAAAACCACATAACTCCACCGGAGTGGAAAACGAGATGGCCGAAAATGAGATGACTCCACCGGAGCCTAAAACGATATGACTCCACTGGAGCCGAACACGAGATGACTCTTCACTGGAGTCGAAAACGACATGACTCCGCTGGAGCCGAAAACGAGAAGACTCAACCGCAGCAAAAAACGAGATGACTCCACCGGAGCCGAAAAACGAGATGGTCGAAAATGAGACGACTCCATCGGAGTCGAAAACGACATAACTCCACTCAAGCCGAAAATGACAGGACTCCACCGGAGCCAAAAACTATATGAATTTATTGATTTTTCAGTATGGTGATGGTATAAATCCAAATACATTAAAAATTTTAGTATAATTTTTTATTTTATCAAAAAATTTCCACTCTGACTGTATAAATTTATTATTTTTATCGATATCCTCTCCATTCTCCATGGTACATTTATTGGTATTACTTGATATGTTCGATACGGTATTGGTATACATTTATGTGTGTAAATATATCAAAATTTTCGATATAGTCTATGGTATAGAAAGTTAGTAATATTATTGATATTATATTTATTTCTAATAGTATATATTTATTGATTTTTCAGTATAGTGATGGTATAAATCCAAATACATCAAAATTTTTGATATATTTTTTATTTCGTCAAAAAAATTTCACTCTAACCGTATAAATTTATTATTTTTTATCGATATTCTCTCTATTCTCAACGGTACATTTATAGGTATTAGTTGACGTGTTCGGTACGGTATTGGTATACATTTATATGTGTACATATATAAAAAAAATTCGATATAGTGCTATGGTATTGAAAATTAGTAATATTTATCGATATTATCTTTATTTCTAACCGTGTATATTTATTGATTTCTAGTATGGTGATGGTATACATCCAGATACATCAAAAAAAATTACTATAATCTTTTATAATATCAATAACTTTATAAATTTATTAATTTTTATCGGTATCCTCTCCATTCTCAACAGTACATTAATTGGTATTAGATGATATGTTTTGTACGGTATTGGTATACATTTATGTGTCTACATATATAAAAAATTTCGATATAGTCTATGGTATAGAAAATTAGTAATATTTATCGATATTATCTTTATTTTTAACCGTATATAATTATTGATTTTTCAATATGGTGATGGTATACATCCATATACATCAAAATTTTTAGTATAAGTTTTTATTTTACCAAAAAATTTCCATCCACTCGAACCGTATAAATTTATTATTTTTAGCGATATTCTCTTCATTCTCAACTGTACATTTATTGGTATTAGTTGATATGTTTGGTACGGTATTAGTATACATTTATGTGTGTACATGTATAAAAAATTTTGATATAGTCTATGATATAGAAAATTAGTAATATTTATTGATATTATTTTTATTTCTAACTGTATATATTTTTAGA